ATATGACTGCTAACCAGAAGGCTGGTGGTTCAAACCCATCAGCCACTCCTCAGAAGGAAGGTTGGGCAATCTACTTCCATAGTGATACCGCCTCGGAAACCCAAGGAGGGGTTGCTATGAGTTGGATCTGACGCCATGGCAGTGAGTTTGGTTTTATGTAATATATATAATGGAATTTTACATTGTCATAAAGATAAACAAAGTCCTGATACATGCTTCAACATGGATGAACCCTGAAAAACATTATGCTGAGTGAAATAAGTCAATCACAAAAGCACAAATATTGTATAATGTCAGTAATATTAAATACACAGAATATGTAAATATAGAGAGATTAGAGTTTAATAGTGGTTACTAGGGGCTGGAGGGAGAGGGGAAGAGGGAATTATTGCTTAGGGAGCATTGAGGTTTTGTTTATAGGAATGGAAAATTTGGCAAAGGACATTGGTAATAATTTCACAGCATGATTGATATATAATCAGTCTTATTGAAGTTTGTAGTCACTGAATTGTATATGGGAAAAATTTTCAATTGCCAAATGTGGTGCTATCTATATTTTTACAATAAAAAAGTTGAAGCAACTGGGTTGATGATAGGCTGTAGAAGGCAAGAGTGAAAACTCAGAGGCTAGTCAGCTGGTGGTGGTAGCCCAGGCTGGAGAGCTTGGGGACTCAGAATGAGAAGGGTGGCTATGACAGAGTGCAAGTTGGTCAAGATTCTAGCTTTATTTTGAAGGCACAGTCTATAAGAATTCTAGATTGGACATGTGATGTGGGAGAAAGAGAGGGTGAAGGATAACTCCAAAGTCATTTTAGGTCATATACCCATTGGGCAGAGTGTCATGCTGTATGTATCACCTGTATGTATGTGGTGGTGTGTTGTTGTTATGTGCCATCGAGTCGGGCCCGACTCATAGCGGCCCCTCCTTGGGTTTCCGAGGTAGTATCACTACGGAAGAAGATTGCCCAACCTTCCTTTCGAGGAGTGGCTGGTGGGTTTGAACTGGTTAGCAGTAAAGTGCTCTAGGCACTATGCTACCAGAGCTAAAGTGTCTATCCATTTTCCTTTTTTGCTGATTAAGTTTGATTCTTATAAATTAAATATGTCTATACCATACTTCGGGAGCTCTGGTAGCATAGTGCCTAAGGCACTTGACTGCTAACCAGAAGGCTGGCGGTTCAAACCCACCAGCCACTCCTTGGAAGGAAGGTTGGGCAATCCTACTTCCGTACTGATAACTGCCTCGGAAACCCAAGGAGGGGTCACTAGGAGTCGGGGCCGACTCTATGGCAAATAACAACAACAACAACACCATACTTCATTTTCTTGTGACCTGATTCTGGACCTTCCTCCATAGGATATGTTCAGATATTTATTGAGTGACTGCTGTATGTCTATCATTGCGCTGTGTGCCAAAAGGGATACATGGGGAATTAGACACAGGATCCTAATCACAAGGAGTATGCAATCTAATCTGGTGGAAAAAAGACAAAAAAGAAATATATCATTGTTGGCTGAAATTGTCAGGGGAAACCAAATAATAAGACTTAATAAGATGTAACCCTAACTGGGCTCCTATTCTATTCCAGGTACTATACTAAGCACTTTACAGATATTACCCCATTTAAGCTTCACCACAAACTCATGAAGCTGGTGTTTTATGCCTATTTTACAGATGAAGAAACTGATGTTTAGAAAGGTTAAGTAAATTGCTTGAGATCATGCAGGATTCCAATCCAGGCCAGTTTGACTCACAAACATGGCGTCTTATAATCTCTCTTATTTAAAAAAAAAAAAGAAAAATAAAGCAAAGGCACTGTCATTGTGTTGATTCTGACTCATAGCAACCCTATATAACAAAAGCAGAACTGCCCTGTTGGGTTTCCAAGGCCATAAATCTTTATCTATTCAGACTGCCTCATCTTTCTCCCATGGAGTGGCTGGTTGGTTTGAACCATCAGCCTTGTGGTTAGTAACGGAATGCTTTAGCCACTATGCTGCCAGAGCTCCTCTCCAATATTGCCCCTCAATTCAGCTGAGCCTTCATGGTCTTCTAGAATATGATCCTCTGAACTCTGAACCATACTAAGTTTAGTTCCCCTCCTACAGTTATCCCTGGGCTGAACTGATCATGTGGCAATATCAGCAGATAGCAGTAATAAAATAGAAACTACTGTTCAATTTCTATTTCGTTATTGGTCAATTGGCCTTCCTACCTAACTTGTTTTTATAGACAAAGCCAAATTCATTCTTTCATCTTTCTTTTTATAAGATGGGACTAACTTTCAGACTTCATTTGTCTAACTTGATTACAGACAAAGACTTGTCATATTGGGAGCCTTCATTCCTCCTGAAAGTCTTAAAACAAAAGTCCCAAAGGAAACAACATGAAACCAAGCCAATCCTATTTTTTAAGTGTTTCCCACCTTGTGTCAAATAAACCTGATGCAGATTGTTTTCCAAACAGCTTTCTATAAAACCAACCAGTTTTGAAATCTGATTTTGCCTGTGTAGTAGACACATCCTGTTTTCTGTGCATAGAGAAGTAGGGAATACCCAAGCTGGCATTCAACAGTAGTGAATATGAACTAGACCATTAAAAAGAAAGTTACAGGAATGTTAAAATCCGTGTTCACTGGTTTTTACATTTACCTGGCTGGATTCCCATGCTAGCATTGGCATGGAGACTGGAAAACGAAATTTTCCACAAGTCTGTCACTTGCTACTGTTTCCACTTATTTGACTGTTTGTCCAACTTTCATAATTTTAAAAAAGTGAAAAAATAGTTTGATTCTCTCTTTATTTTCTGTTTCAGGATGTTTCTCAAACATGAAAACATACATAAAGAGGTTTTAAAAATCAGTCAAATATTTGGGTTTCCAAATATTCAGCTGTTAAACATTCAGATAATTGCCTCCCCCCCACACACACACATTGAGTCTGAATGCTTTGGCATGGGGGAGCACCACAGTCTGAAAGTAACTTTGACTGTCCTCACTGAATTTATTAAGGAGGCTGAAAGATGCATCTGCTTTTCAACAGTCTGTGGCCCATATAGGACAGGGGGAAGAGCCAGAGACTGACCATTTAGGATGAAAGTTGGGTTTCTTCAGTTACCAGTAAGTTTGGCATAGTCACACTTTGGTCCTCTTGAAATCATTTTTATAGAAGGGAAAAAAAGGCTGAGATCTTGGAGCAAGGCCATCAGTGATGGAGGGCAAAATTGTCAATTGTCCTTTCAGGTTGTGCCTAGAAGCCAGTAGGCACTCAGCTCATGTTTACATGAATGAACTAATCACATTCACACCATATTGCATCTTAAAACACTGAATGGTGTTTTTCCTGGAATAGAAACTAAATGGAGAGACCTCCCTACCTAGGGTTTGAGGGGCCTCAGGCTGGCACAGGAAACCAGAGTTTTCATTTCCCTTTGGCATCATTCTGACTGCTCTGCCTAGAGCTGGCCCAATGCTAAAGAAGGGAGGGAATGCATGTGAGGAAAATGAGAGAGGAAAGGGTCGAGAACAGATATGAGAAGACATTTGAAATGAAGCAAATAAATAGGATTCCCACAGCTGGAACGACAGACCCCTAAACGTCGTCAGGGATATGGGACCGGGGTGCCTTTGCTCTCCCTTTGTTCTTTTCCCTGCTGTCCATGTTTTTTTCTAAGTTATTCGGCCATGAGGACTGATCTGGTGGCTGCCTGGTTCATGGCCAGTACCTGGCATCCAACAGGCGCTGGGTAACGACTTGCTGCACAAATGGGCAAATACAGAGGCTTCTGGCTTATTGTTCAACTACCTCCCCACCCCCAATTTGTCCACAGCGCCTGGCACACAGTAGGCGCTCCCTAAACATCTGTAGAGCAAATGAGCTGCAAGTTTTGGCGCCGAGCACGTAGAGCTTTGGAAACCAGGACAGCAAACGAGTGCATCTCAGACCACAAAAGCAATTCAGGCGCGTGCGAAAGGCAACCGCGGGCTAGAAGCGAGAGAATGGCAGGGAGTGGGGCGCCCCGCGGGAGGCGCTGCCTGCGTGGCGCCCGAGGCGGGGACGGAGGGAGACGCGCCGGCACGTGGTCCTCTCGGAGGCCTGCCCGGCCGGGGTGGGCGCGCGTGTGCACATGGGGGCGTAGGGTGTGTGCCCGCGCCGTGCCCCCCGCGCGTGCTGCCGGGCGGGCGCCGGTGTGAGTCACGGCGAGGCTCGCCTTTATAACGGCCGGGAGGCTCGCGGAGCCACCGCGCCTGCCCACTGTTCCGCGCTCCACGGAGCTCCCTGGCTCCGCGCCCCCAACGGCCCCCAACCGTCGCCCAGCCCAGGGGCGCCATGAGGAGCCCGCGCTGCACCCCGCTGCTGCTCTTGCTGCTGCTACCGCTGCTGCTGCTGCTTACGCCCCCCGCTGGGGACGCCGCTGTGATCACCGGGGTAAGCAGCCCGGCGCACCTGTCCGCCCGGCGCAGCCCGCCTAGGGTGCGCCCGGGGGACTGGGACGGGGAGGGACATACCAGGCGGGGATACCTGCCGCTGTTGCCCCTTGGCACACTTGGCAAAGTACCTGCCCTGCTCCAAAAGCAGCAAATGGGCTGGGACTTTGGGCGCGCCCTGAAGAAAAGTGCTAAAACCGTCTCCCTACCATCTTCTCTCGCTGATTTCCTCAACACCTACAGGCTCTCCCGTGTTTGCTTGTTAAAGTGAAGTTTCCCCCCCCACCCCCACCCCAGAGTCTTCTCTAGCACTCTCATGGCACACTAGCCTGTGACCTTAACATTTGAGAGTTCCTTACTGAAATGCCATAGGGCAAGATGAATGCCCCAAATCCTGGGAGTCTTAAACTGCGTTCAAAGAGTTAGCTCCCGATGCACTGTCCGCAGAAACCCTTTGAAATAATGGTGCAGAACCATGTCTGCACTTTGAAAAGCAATTGTGGTGGCTTCCTTCTGGGTTCCAGGGCTTTTTCAGTTTTTTGAGGTTCTCTCTCTCTAACGATTTTCCATTTCTAATGCCTTATAGAGCACCTCCAGTAGTCTGGTGTAAGTAATGGAGTAAGTTGCCGTGTAGACATTGTTTAGCTTAGAGAAGGCATCTTTGGATGTGGGGGACTAGTTTAATTCTCTCCTACTTCCATCAACAGTTTTCTTTGTGTGGATCTGAACGATGAGGTTACAGTACAAAATAAGTCTAAGTCTGGTTTACATCCAATTCACAGCAACCCTTGAGGACAGAATAGAACTGCTCCATAGGGTTTCTAAGGCTGTAAATCTTTATGGAAGCAGACTGCTTCATCTTTCTACTGTGGAGCGCTGGTGGGTTCGAACAGCTGACCTTTTGGTTAGCAGCCACAGTTTTACTGCATCACCAGAGCTCCTCTAATTTGCATCAACAATGCAAAACTGCTACCATTTCCTGGTTGTTCAACTGAATTATACACACTCTCTCTTTTAAGAGTGGAATTAATTTATACCTTCATTAAATTACTTCCATTATCTAAGTGCATGTTAAAGGCTTTAAGTAAAATTTCTCTGTTTTAAATAATGATACATTAGTAATGAAATAACCTTTAAAAGAAATATCACTGTCTTGAGAAAATAAAGTTCTGTCGTCTCTATGTGAGTTAATAGGCTTGTAGCATATTCAAAGCCCTGTGCTCGAACAGTATTTGGTTTTACCCAATAGACATTTAATTATATTCTTTTGTGACCTTACTAAAATAATTTAGAGCTTAAAAAAATTACTTGCGCAGCTTTGTTAGAAGCAGTCAATCTGGTTGAAAGAAAGTTTTTAAAGGGCTTTCTAATTCATGAGAATTGAAACATGATTGGTTTTTTCCTCTTCCCCTGCTGGTTTATTTTAAATTTCTCCTAATCCTTTGAGCCCAAGATTTCTTTGCAATATAAGTCCTTTTGTTCCATTCACAGGACAACACTATTTGAATAGATCTTCAGTGGGTTAAGGATGAAGGACATTAGTAAACAGCTGTCTAATTAAAAATATATAAACCTGGGCAGTTCTTTGTAAATATTGCCAAGAACTGAAACTTTTTGTTACACAATGAAATTTTATCATGTTGGATGTTTATCTTAGAGAAGTTTAATACAGGTGTGTATTATATAGTTGTGTGTTATTTTTGTGTACTGTAATGGTGGTGGTTCTTTAACTCATTGTTACAATAAGATAATTAAAAAAAAAATTCTCGAAAGCAACATAGCAATAAAGAAATCTAGTTATGTCTTCATGACAGGGACCAGCTAGATGCAAATGAAAACTCAGTAATTTACCTAGATATATTGTCTGTTAGATAAAAAACATTGAAAGGATTGAATATTAAAAGATTTTGGCTGGATTTTAACTATCTTATAAAAAAGGGCTAGTGGGGTTTTGTAATTTGGAGTCTTCAGTATCTGTTGAAATAAAGTACTGGCTGAAACCTCCACCTTAAATATTTACACTTTTTTTGTAGTATATGTATATGTCAGTTTGGAATTGATTCATATGTCTGCACAGATTTCTTAAAACCAAGATATGACTGCATTAGTCATGTGTACATGACTTCTGACATAGAGAGAGAGAATTGGAAAATGAAAACATTTAGATAATGTTCTTATAAAAGACTAAAATCCTTAAGGTGAAAATTGTAGCTTTTAAAATCCAGATACTTCTTTTAAATAGACTGATAAATTCAAATATGGGAAGTAAATAAACTCTAGAGCAAAAAAGTTGGTAACTTTTAATGAAAAGTGATAATAATATTTCCATATATTTGTTTTGAGAGTTATGTCTATTCCTGAAACTTGAGAACTTTAAAGGACTATGTTAGTTATTACTAATAAATGTACATTTAAATTTGTGTCTAAATTATAGACTGTAGTTTCTGCCATACAGAGTCAGACAGTTTTTAGATAATTGCTAACAAAACAGATTATTGAACACCATTCAAACAATCAAATTTTTTATTGGTTCTAAGAAAGAACAATAGTTCTTTAATCCATTTTCATGCAAATAAATTTAGTCTTTCCTTATTTATTAAAGTTTGAAAATTCTTCCATAGTTAATTTTTTTAAATACATATTTGCTATATTAGGAGCAGGAGCCCTGGTGACTGCTAACCAGAAGGCTGGTGGTTCAAACCCACCAGCCACTCCTCGGAAGGAAGGTTGGGCAATTTGCTTCCATAAGAGATACCACATTGGAAACCCAAGAAGAGGATGCTATGAGTTGGATCTGACAGCAGTGAGGTGTTTTTTTGTTTTTGTTTTTGTTTTGTAATGGCCACGTAAAGAGCTCTGGTGACTCAGTAGTTAAGGCATTCAGCCACTAACCAAAAGGTTGACTGTTTGAACCCACCAGCCCCTCGAGGGCAGAAAGATGAGGCAGTCTGCTTCTGTGACGATTTTAGCCTTGGAAACCTTGTGGGGCAGTTTTACTCAGTTCTGTGGAGTCGCTATGAGTCAGAGTCAACTCTATGGTAGTGGTCTGTGTTTGGTAATTAATGGCTACGTATGATATAAGGCTAATATGGACTCATTCTTCAAGTTCATAGCCAACTCACTGTAAAGCACTAGAAAAAGAAGGCTGATATTTTTCTTTTTTAAAAAACTGTGTTTTAGATTTTCATAATCCAGGGACTGTTATTTAGTCCATTTTTGAAAAAGTGGGAAAATCTATCATATTTTATTGTAAATATATGCAAGCAAATGAAGATTATAATTCCTTTTTCATATATGTGGTTATTAAAATCATAGTGTAAAGATAATTTTTACTGCTAATTTTAGATTTCCTTACCCTAAGTCTTTCCCACTATCTATATTTATCTGTTTGTTTGTTGCATTTCAGGCCTGCGACAAGGATCCTCAGTGTGGTGGAGGCATGTGCTGTGCTGTTAGTATCTGGGTTAAGAGCATAAGGATTTGCACACCTATGGGCAAAGTAGGAGACAGCTGCCATCCGCTGACTCGTAAAGTTAGTATATGTGTATGTGTGCTTGTGTGTGTGTGTGTTTTCAGTTAAGTTTCTTAAACTTAACTCGGCAAGGCCTACATGACATGAAGGCTGGGATGATGGGCTTGAAATTGAAAGTTAAAGATGACAATGGAATACTGTCCTCCCTCTCCTGGCCCAGTCCATTTTAAAAAAAAAAAAAAGGTCCATTCTCATCTTGATTCTAGTGAGATTTTTCATATCATTGCTCTCATGGCATTCTAACCATTTTATAAAAATGAACATATGAATTTGCCTAAAAATTATTTGGGAAAAAGAGTATGTATTATACTCAACCACACTTCTTTGCAGAAACAAGGGTGTAGAAATTCTGGAAGAGACTTTTAATATCAGATCCACTGATAGAGCACAAGTAAGAAGTAAATAAGCAGTGTGGTTTTGACTCAGAAAATCACAGATAATAGTTACTCTTTTTTTTATTATTAAATTTTTATTTGTATTGTGATTTGGGTGAAAATTTACAGAGCAATTACACTTTCCAAACAGCAGATCACATACACTTTGTCTCATGACATTGACCACTATTTAGCACAATGCAACATCTCCTCTCCCACTTCCTCCTGATAGGTACCGCTTCCCTGTGACCATCCCTCCATGCACTCCTACCCCCTCAGCTGTCTCCCTGTGCCTGAGCAGCCCTTCTTTCTCTCTTACTTGTTCTCTCCAAGGATAATAACAGTTACTTGTGTATTTTAGTTTAAAAGTTAGATATTTTGATTCTGTATCTACAGGGTTCACAGCCTTAAGAGATTGATGGTATTTAATTACCCAATTTGTTCTTATCATCTAACAGCTCAATATCACAATTAGCAGAGAAACGGTTCTGAAAATCCTGCCAGTAAGAGACAGGACCGTAGGATGGCAGGATTGGATGGCGCTTTCAAGTTTGTGTCCTCAGAGGCTGCAGACTTGCCTGTCAGTAGGGATCAGGCACTTTTGGCATTGTATCAGGAAGGGGGTGTGTGGAAGACAGGAGGGAGCAGAGAGATAGGAGGGCTGGAGAGTCCTTGTCCTGCAGATTTGAGCATTTTGAAACACTGTGGTCCCAACAACTGTGCCTCCTCCAACAAGGCTGCCAGATTATAGTGCCTTACTCTGATACCACCTCCTTGTGTCACACATCAGTAAAATGAAGTCCAGAGACTTGTATAGATGCCTCCTATACCAGATAGCTCACTGGAGGCAGAGGTCAGTCTCTTTATTGTGTTCTTGCTATACATTGTATTTTCGCCTTTTAAAATAGATAGAATATTTTCAAAGCAGCCTGAATTCTACCTTGTACCTTTGTTTTTTTTTTTCACATGTGGTTTAGGGTTTAAAACTGTAATAGAGCCAAGTATGTTTCTTGTACAGAAGCAGGTCCCAGATAATAGTTTATATCTGACGTTCTCGGAATGAACGCAATGAAATAAATTGTGGCCTGTTGCCTTAGGTTAGTTCTGTGCGATATGATATGGATTCCAGTTAGCTGTCTGAAGACTGAATTTTCTTTTGGCTTTCTTGTGGTTTCCTTGGAGGAGTTCTGGTGGCACAGTGGTTAAAGCACTCGGCTGTGAACCAAAAAGTATGCAGATAGACCTCATCACCACTCTGTGGGAGAAAGATGTGGCAGTCTGCTTCCTTAAAGATATACTGCCTTGGAAACCTTATGTGGCAGTTCTATTCTGTCCTAGAGTATTGCTATGAGTTGGAATTGACTCGGTAGGAGGTTTGGGGTTTTTTTTTTTTTTTTTGGATAGTTTCCTTTAGATATACTTCTTTTTATGCTTAAACCATTCCTTCTTGTGGTCTTACAATGTGAGATTGTACTGCCACTTAAAAATAGTTCTTCCTACTACTTCCATAGAGATACCCCTTGAAAACCCAAGGAGGGGTCGCTATGCATCAACTTGACTCGACAGCAGTGAGTTTGGTTTTTGGTAAGGGCCTTTTATTCTTGGACATTTTTTTTTTTATTGTGATTTGGGTGAAGGTTTACAAAGCAAATTCACTTTCCATACAACGGTTCACATATACTTTGTCTCATGACATTGACCACAGTTTACCACAATGCAACGGCTCCTCTCCCATTTCCTCCCCATAGTTACCTCTTCCCTGTGTCCATCACGCCATGCACCCCTGCCCCATGAGCTGACTCTCTGTGCAAAAGCAGCCCTTCTTTCTCCC